GCTGGGCAGGGCTCCTCACTGCCACCTGGGGAGACAGACCACCCCTCACAGCCCTCCTCTGGACCCTCCTCCCATTCTTCTTCCCATTCCCCTCCTCCCAGCTCTCCTCCCTACTTGCCCCAGCTCTCCAACTGCCCTCAAATGGCACTTTCTGAAATCTGATGTCCCCTCATTGGCCTTCAACTCAGTGTCTAGGCACAAAATTCACTGTCTTCCCACTCAAACTGCAGTTGTACCATCTCTAGGTTTCCTGGCCTGGACCTTTGGCATAATCCTCAACTCAAACACCTCCAGAAGGATATGTGATCAGTCACTAAATCACACTGTTGACAAGAGGGTTCCTTCTAGCAGCTCTGAGATTTGCTCTTTCCTCTCTCATCTCTGGAGGTCCATGTTCCCCTTTCCACATATCTTTTCTGACTAGCAATGTCTACTAATACAGCAGGGTGCAGATGTTGCCTCCAGAATTTTTCATTATTCTGGAATCCTCTGGGTTCACCTAGACTACACTTCATTAAATCCCTACTTTGTCCTTTCCTCCTGCCTGGGAGTTTCTTAGGGTGGGGGTCCCTTCCCACCCTCCTTGCAGCCCAGCTACTGGCACCACGTGGGGGCTGGCAAATGATGACTACAATTTCAGGGTCCTAGGTCTCCTGAGATGCATGATCTGTAGGATAGAAAGCCCTACTCCATCCTTGTATCCAACTGGGCATGTTACTGTCAAGTTACTCTTTCTGAAGTACATCAAGAATCTGTATCAGAAATGTTCTCTTACTGAGTAGAACAAAACTGAATTCTTCAGCTTGGCACTCATGCCTCTTTACTGATTGGTTGTAAACCAATCTGTAACCCATCTGTACCAACCTCCTAGTATCCCCAGTATGGAGTCAGACTGTTGATAGGAGAGAGGTGTTGTTACAGGTTGAGTTTGTTCTCCTCGGTTCTTGTTCCTGCTGAAACAAAGAATTGAAAGGCAAAGACACAGTAGCAAAGCAGAGTGAAAGTTTTATTTGAATCCACTCCAAGGGAGGAGCGGACCAGAGTCAAGATAGACAAAAGCATGGAACTTTTAGGGGAGGATCTGTTTACCTGATCCTGGCCTGGAAAGTGCCTTTTTGATTAACAGGATGAGGTTATTTGACTGACAGCTCTAGTTGTACACCCATTCCTCTTGGTGCACACATCTTTTTCCAAAATGCACACAGAAAAGGGGCAGGGAGCAAAACTGCAATTTTCTTTGAATGAGATCATGATGAGGTGTGGTTTGGGCATTTCTTAGTTCTGTTTGATTGAACCTGCATTGGGACCTGGTTGGGACGGGTTTGGCCGGGTCCTGAAAGGCAAGGAAGTTGTCTCCTTGCAAAAAGCCTTTATTGTCTTCACGTGGGACCACCAACTGGGCAGTTTTTCCTTGAAACTTCTCTTCCCCTTCCCTGGCTGCTCATGTCTGTCTTTCTACCTGTAAATCTGGGGAAAGTAAATCCCAGGGCAAAATACCTCTAAAGACTGAAATCAGTCAAAAGGAGAAATAAAGTTTAAAACCCTTTTATTGCTTACAAACTGCAGTCCAGCACTGCCTCTCTCTCCCCTAATCCAGAATAAGCAAGCAGGCAAGCCCCTCCCTTTAAACTCTAAGGTTCAGACATGCCTTCGGCTGCCCAGGTAATTACCCATTGACGTGGAGGTGAACTTCTGCCCACCCCTAAGGATATGCAGATGCACCAAAGCCAGGCGAGATACTCTGGAAATGTAACAATTTTACCCACACCACCTAATAGTGTGTTTGTTATGCTCAGCAGTGACTGCCACCATCACAGCAAATTTCTGAGCAGAATGGTCACCAGTGGTAACTGGAGAAGGTTCCCATTTGCCAGACACCATTTCTGGGGACCACATGGCCACCACTGTCTGGGAGTTTACAAGAACACTGTGGCGAGCTCCTTCATCAATCAGCTTTCTTTCCCTTTCCCTCCTTGGATGCTGTTGCCTTTACACAGTATATAGTTATCAGCTGGGGCCGATTATGCCCCCAGAGGACATGTAGCAATGTCTGGAGATATTTTTAGTTGTCAAAACTGGGGGTGGGTGCTACTGGCATCTAGTGGGTGGAGGTCAGGCATGCTGTTTCATATCCTACATTGCATAGGGCAGCTCCCAGCAAAGAACTTTCTGGCCCCAAATATCGCTAGGTCTGTTGAGATGCTCTGGTCTGCAGGGCCCTCCCCATGAGTAGTCAGTCCTGAGACTCTTCTCCGTATCCCACCTCCTCACAGAAGGGTCACCAGCATCTTTTTTTTCTTTAAATCCTGCCCTGTTTAGCACTTCCCCTCTTAAACAGATGTTAGCAAATTTTGCATTTGTTTTATCCCATATATTCAGTTAGGTTATAAGAGCATTGAGGACAGTGATATTTATTTTTCAATAGGTGTGAGCACAAGATAAATGTGTGGTGGATAGTTGTTGACTCACTTAGCTCCCTGAAGCACAAATGAAAAATAAAATGCTTACATTTACCAGCTCCTCTTGAGAATTTCAGGATTTGGAAACAGAGGAAACTTGTTTAAATATAAAAGGGAAGTTCTAGAATTTCCACAGAATTTAAGCTCTTCTTATTCTGAGGAATACACCTGGAAATGTAACTCAAGTATCAGCTATAGTCACACCGTCCTTTATAATTTAAATAAAATTTGTTTCAGTCCCTCAACAGTAGGAACATTAGGTCTGTTGCCTCTCCGGGAAGTTCTGCGTTCAGCATATCCACTTCTGCCTCTGGAAGTCTGCCCTGTGGACACCTCTCCATGCCTTCCATCTGCCGGCTGGCACCCCCTTTCCAGGCTGTGCAGGCCCTACCTTGGCCGCAGTTCCTCCTTCCCGGTGTCCTCTAAACCTCCCCCATTAGGACCTCTGTATGTTGAGAAGTCTTTACAGGTTAGAGACAGAAGCTGAAAATAGTCTCAGCCCTTTATTTTTTTGATGGCCTTATTTTTGAAAGTTCTTCAGCAACCCCAGGCCAGGAATTTTTCAGAGACACTTTTTGTGCTAGACTTCAGCCTCCTGTTAGTAGTGCTGCAACTTCTCTGCATTCCTCCTTCTTCTGCAATTCCTTCCCAGCTCCCATGCTCAAAGTCTTCTAAACCATTGCGGAGCAGCCCACAGTTCCTGTAGCTCACCTTCCCTACCTCAAGCAGGCTAGGATATTCTTACCCTAAACAGAGAGTGTTTTTACCTAAGACAAACTCCTGGGTCTTTTGTTCATGCCGCTCCACAAAGACAGAGTTCTGAGCTCTGATGAACAGAATGTCAGCCGTGAAGGAAAATGCCATGAGCAGAGACCAGGAGCAGAGCTCTGCTGAAGAAAGCGAGGGAAGCTGCTTCTCTGGCGCTCATGCCTGGTTGTGTGTCAGCCAAGTTACTTTCTTTCTAAGGAAACCTTGCAGGTCTGGGGGCACTATTAAAGGCACCCATGTGGCAGGGCTGGTCCTCAGGCAGTTGTGAGTCCCTCCAAGACTGTGGCCAGCAGCACCCGTGGCAGAGAGCTAGCACATGTGCTCCCTGGGGAGGCCAGTAAATGTCTGCTTTGGCTCTAAAGAAGTACAAATAAACACAAAGTTTGGGTAATGCTCTCTTCTGTTTACATATATGTGAACAGTGCTATAAAGTTAATAATTCTTACTTTGTAAGTGAGACAAGCTCAATAAATTTTTTTTCTTAAAGGGGATGAAATTTACCCCTAATCTAACTGTGTAAAATAATCTCTGTGAATATTGTAGTGTCTTTGCTGCCCTGAGGAAAGCTTTTAGGAAATAAGGGGCTTTTCAAATCCAGGGAAATGCTGGGGTCAGTTTTACACCTGAGAAAGACTCCTCTTATCTTCTTAGTTGGATGTAAAAATCCCCATCCCCATCTGCCCTGGGAAGTGCCATGACCTACCTTTGAATTAATGTGTATATTCCTTTGGAGACTCAGAGACTTTCTGAGTCCTCCTGCCCCTTAAAATTAATAGACATGTTCAATAAATATTTACTGAGTGCCAACTATTGTCACCAGACACTCTTCTTGCAGTGAAGATTCATCACAGAACAAGACAGATGGAAACCTTTGCTCATGGTTCCTTGTCAGAGGAGATAACAAGAAAGGGGGCAACAAGAAAGGTCTAGAGAAGGAGGCCTTCTCTGGGCCTCAGTCCCCTGTCCCTTATCCTCCCACACCTGCCCTGAGCAAATTAACTGAGAGCTGGGCCAGAAATTAAATATCTTCAGAGCTTGGGAAAATCACTTGAACTGTGATTTCTATTTCAGATGGGAACATTTCTTAAAGGTTTCCCCCCTTTTTAAAAAAAAAATTTCCAAATTCTAATGAGCTCTGCATTTTACTTCCTGATAGGTCCAAGTGTTTTCACATATAAAAGTGATGTTTAAAATGATTTGATGTGGTGTAAAAATAATGCACTGTCAAATTATCTAGTGACCAACCCATCTGCTCAGAAAAATGCTCCTCTCTGAGGTGCTCTTTCTGATGACAGGGTGTGGGGACATTTCACTAGTGTGTTCTTATCAGCCAGCACAACAGCACGATGTCCAGACACTGGATGCCTGAGGTGGGCAGAAGAAACTGCTGAGCAGGAGCCAATTTTCAGAAAAGGAAAGCAGGCAGCTGAGAGGAAGCTTCCGGGTCATACCTCAAGTGGGTCCCTAAATCTGAGCTGTGTGCTTCAGTCCTTGACAGATTAAATTATTTAAGGCATGTTTGCAGTTCCCAGACTCTTTTCATGAGCTGCAGTAATCCTCATGGTTACTCTGTGAAATAGAGAGCACGGTCCCTATTTCACACTGAAATACAATCAAAGTGGGAGGGTAACTGCTCAAGGTCTCACACACAGGGAAGTCATATAATGCCCCTAATACCACCTCAGGAGGGTGCTTCCTCCCTTTACTACATACACTCCCTGTTAGGACTTAAAATCCCTATAATTTACTTAAAAATACAGGCATGCTAGAAGAGCCACAAAGCAGTTTTGTGTTTTATTATCAAATAACAGTGAAATTATTCAAGGTAGGTAGTGGAAACCAAAGGCCAACTGGGATCCTGCTCACCTACTGAGCACACCTTCCTTTGCCTGGGTTAACTGCCTCTCGATGAGTAGCAGGAGTCTGTTGATAGCTCCACACGGCCTTCATCAGGGCAGCCTTGGTGGGACGTGGCCACAGTCTCTCCTTTCTGCCAACCAAGGCCCTCCCACCCTTCCTCCAGGGCAGAAGCGCTTTCAGTCTCCTAACCTGTAAAGTGGGATGAGTAGCTTTTCCTCTCTGAGTGGTTTCATTTGAGTTTTGACAATTGAGCCTCTGCTATCTTTAGCTCTGTTCTCCTCTATGTGTTCTTTGAAATATGAATCAACAATTCTTAGAAAAATGCAGGTTTGGGTGTGTGAGGTGGGGGGAGTGGGGTCTTGTCACTGGTTTAGAACTTTGCAGAAAGGTTGGAGGTGTCACAGCAATTGTCGGCAGAGACGTGTGAGAAGATCAACCGCAGTGCTGTCCTTGGAGGGCAGGGCTGGGTGAGGGCAAGGTGATGCCCACGATGGCTCATCAGGGTGTGGTGACCAGACATGCTCGCACCAACTGCCAGGGGGAGACCAGAAGCACAGGGAAAGAAGATAAGAGAGAGGGAATTTCTCTGTCTCTGTGGAAGGGGAAATCACAAAATTGACCACATCCATACCAATTTTCAAATACTGTTGAGATCAGTAAAAAGAGAAAGGGAAGGAGACCATACAGACCATGAAACCACCCCATAAATAATGAAAGTACCAGTTGCTCCTTAGGAGTATCTGTTTCTAACTGACTTTGAAGGAGTCAGCAGGTAGAAGCAAAACAGCAGTGCCACAGCTACTTTCTGCAAATGGTGACTGAAGACCATTCTACATGGACATTTCTACATGGACACATCTGAAGGGCTGTGTGCCAGCTGAGGCCGCCCTATCCTAGAGATTTGTATAATGGTTCTGTCTCTTTATTCTATATTCTGGGGAAAGCCCTTGGCCCCTCACGATGGGGACTCATCTGGCAGGTAGCTAATCCCCCAGGAGCACTCTGTGAGCTCACACTCTCCCATGGGCCTCAGTTTCCGCAGCTGTCCTGGTTCCTTCCTCCACACAGATTCCAATGTGGAACTTATCCCTTTTGTGTGAATCCCCAAACTATTGTCCAACAGGTGAGGTGTGTTGCAAATATTGCCATTCAGTGTTAGAGGGACTGTCAGTGGAGGTGCTCAGATGCCAACCTGCATACCCTCCTTTCTTTCCCACCAGCCTGTCCCCAGGGCCCATGCCCTCAGGTGACCCCCTGTGCATATGAGACTCAGCTTCCCCACCTCCTACTCTGCCTCAGCTCTGCTTACTGGGCCACCCCCTCAGCCCGTTCCTCAGCCTCCCACTGCCTTCTCAGCCTAGGCCTGCCCTTTGCTCTTCAAAACTTCGAAATGCTACGCTAAAATAAATGCTATTATTCTTCAGCAACACAGAAAGATTTGCAGGTCCTCTGAAAATGTCATTTTTCCTTTTTCTGTCCTCCACTAATCTCTCTAAGTGCAGGGAAAAGTCTAGAGATACTTCCCAGTGATGATATCAATTTACACCCCCTCCCTGGAATAGAAAAAAAGCATTAGTTTTGAATAAAACCTTTTCTGTTTCTTCAGTAAACAAAAACACATATGATTTAATAACGCAGTGATTTGTTATTACCTGTTCCTGAAGTAACACCTGCTGAGCCCTGATGCGAAGGCCTTGGCTCATTCTGTCTCCCCAGCCCCAGTGCCTTCCTCCGCCCCAGGCAGCATCCTCTCCTCCATCTCTTCTTCTTTTTTTTTAAATTTTAAATATCAAGATTTATATACAAACCACTAACTATAATATCTGTTAAGAGAATATTTATAAAGCTAAATTTATTTAGTGGAATTTGGATTTCTATGTGAAGATTTCCTCCTCCATCTCTTCTTCCTTTTTTTACATTTTAAATATCAAGATTTATACACAAACCACTAACTTATAATATCTGTTAAGAGAATATTTATAAAGCTAAATTTATTTAGTGGAATTTGGATTTCTATGTGAAGATTTCATATCATTCCAGTCTTGGGTCCTGGAGAAGGGAAGACAGATGTTTTCTTTACAATTTCACTCTTTTTGCTGCTCCCCTACCCACTTCTAACCCTCAATGTCAGCAGTTGCAGACTTGAGGAGAGGTATACATCAAAGTGATATCCATGATTCCATGATCTCTTCCCCATCTTCTTTATCCATCCTGCCAACTCCCAGGTGATTGTCTCCCTCCATGACACCCACATGGCCTCCTGTGCTAGCCCTGCTATTTATTTCCTTTGTACTCTTTGATTATTTCACACATCTTTGTCTTCTTTCTTCATTTTTAAATGGACTGTTTAAAGCTTCAAGAATTTTAAGCTTTGAGGTCACCTACAAATGCACACCCCAACAGTGATGTGCACTTAAGTTAATGACACCACCAGACAAGTGTCAGTTTCCTCACTTGCAAAATGGAAATGAAAACAGTGCCTTCCTCATAAGTGATGCTGTGAGGATTAAATGAGATTATATTTCCAAGAGCTAAGCACCATATTGACACATGAGGAGGTGTCACTAAATGTCAGCTTTTATCAAGATGTGGGTGATAATCAAGACAGAAGGCATGGCCTGGGCCAAGAAAATGAAGACTTGATCAAATCAGTGAAATAACTGGCCAAGCCAGGAGAAAAGCATCAGCCAAGCAATGACTAGATGACTGTAGATCAAAAAGAAGCCTGGTTGTTAGCTTGACTTTCCAGCCTTTCAGGCTATGGAAGTATATTTTGTAGACCACACGGTTTCCTGGGAGATTGTTCCAGCCCATAGGAGGAGCACAGTGTGTTCCCTCCACCACAGTAAGAACAGAAGTGATGTCAGTGCTCAGGCCACTGAATGCCTGGAATGGAAGGAGAATTCTCCCACAGGTCACTGTAATTCCCCAAATTGGAAACTTGGTCAAGTGGCCAGAAGGCTCAAAAGGGACCCCTGCTTGTCAACCCATGGTGACTTGATTGGGTTTCAGGCAGGTATTACTATGAACTTCTGCTGTGGCTCAGGCTGGCATGTGACTCAGGGAACCACTCATGACCTTCTGACTCACCAGCTCCTTCCTGTAGCTTCTCTGTACCCGTCCCCCTCTCCCAAATGCTAACAAATGATAAAACTCAGAACCAACAGTTATTACACATGCACTAGTGCCAATTGCTGTGTTATTCTATATCACAACAGCCTACGAGGTGCACACATCTGCTATCCCTTTTTAACAAAGGCAAGGGTCAGTTTCAGGCTGCAAGCTTTGGGTAAATTGCCCAAGATCTCATGTTGTTGAATTCAAAATACAAACCCAAGCACCATCGTTCCAAAGTCTACATTCCTAGCTACTGGACACTGGAAACTGGGCAGATCTCAGTACACAAAATTTAGGGGTGGAATCAACATTATAGCTAACTTTCTAAATAAGTGCCTATATGATTTGAAAGGTAGTAAAATGGCTGTTTATATAAAACAAGCAAGCAAATTCTAAAATAACATCCATATTTCCTGAAATTCTGATATTGTTCATTTCTTTAGACCAACACCATAAGACTCTACACAAATGGTATCTGCTAGGGAAGGAAACAATATCTACTAAGTATGCATTGTATATAAGGTCACCACCACAGCTCTTGGGTGATCCTGCAGCACACTAAAGTTTGAGAACCTCTGCCCTAGGGGATGTCCCCATTCTCCCTGCTTCAACCATCGCCTTTTGTAGTTGACCCCAAACTCTCTCTGTTCTTGTTCCTGAGCTCAACAGCCTCTCTTCCTGTAATCTGACAATATCTCCACAATATCTGACTATATCTGGCACTCAGCAGCCTTGAAATAAAAAAAAAAAAAATCCAAACCAGATCCTCTCTGATTTCTCCATTCGTCAAGGTCAGCACCATCTCTCCACCACAGACTGGAAAGCTCAGTCACCCTGGGACCTCCCTTCAATTTGAGAGAGATGGTTTATTTCTGTAGATTCTGCCTTGGAGGGCCTCTGGAAGCAGCTTTCCTCTGCTTCCCAATCATGTGGTTTTATCCTGTTCAAAAGCTCATTCCAACACTTTTGACCCCCACCTGCCCAGCAGCTCAAGACGGGGCTGATGGCCTGAGCAGTAGCTCCTGTCTGGTCGGCCTCCTCACACTCTGCAGCTCTGTTCACACCAAGGCTATGAATGTGTGAAGGCTCTTCACCCCTCAAATGCTGTATCACTGAAGGCCATCCACAGGGGGCTCTAACTCACCCTCACACCACCTTCTCCAACTCCCAGATGAGCACCAATCCCCTGAAACAGCTCCTGTAGCTCTTTCTGTCCACATGAACATGCCTTAATTTTTATTAAGACTCTCCCAAAGGTGTACTTTCACCAAGGCCTTTGCTGGAAGCTCTTGAGTAGCTTTAACACAGACGAAACAACAGACTTGAGGAGTCTGAGCCCTCCACTTAGCAGCAGGGTGGTCATAAGGTAGCCAACTCCACACAATGGCATTAAAATGAAGTGATAGGTAATGATGGGGGATAATGGGAATAGACTGACTTGGGGGCCAGAAAGACAGGTATTTGCATTTCAGCTCTGCTATTGCTGGCTACACAGCCATAGTCAGAGTCTCTGGACTGTAACTTGATTTTTCTCATCTGCAAAAATGGGAACAATAAATAATATCTCTTTCGGAGGACTTTTGTGAGGATTCAAATGAACAAATGTGAAATGCCTACTATGTGACCCTGAACAATGGCATTTATTATTGTGTATTTTATAGTGCTTCCCACCTTACAAGGTGTCACACATTTACTGTGATCCTCTCCTTCAGCCCTTTGAACCTCTCTTATAATGTTTACCTGTTTTTGCCACATTTTCTACTTATTTTAAGATTGTCCTATCCCTTGACAAAACTTCAAGCTTCCTGGCCCAGGAAGCATTCTTTTACCCTTTGTATCTACTATAGAAGCTAGCATGGTGCCTGGCACACAGACATAGCTCAGAAAATGTTGGATTAAGTTAAACTTGAGGAGAAAACAGAAGCCCCAGGCAAGCTTGGAGGGCATAGTACAGTAGGGACCCCCAGGACCCTTAAGGGTTGGCCTGAGAACAGCTAACACCTGAGGGACACAGAGCAATCCAGGATAAGGGTTTTCCAAATTTACCAACTTGACAGCTTGCCTGGCTGGAGATGTGGCAGTGCAGGTGGTATGTGAGGAGCAGGACCTGCAGACGCTCAGGCGGGGTTCCAGTTTGGGTTCTGTCCCTAACTCCCTGAACCTCAGTTCACTCATCCATCCATAAGGCCAAATACGAATAATAGTACTAACTCCAGAGTGTTTTTGAAGATTAATTCTGTGCCAAGCACCTGGCATAAAGACTTTCATCTTTGACAATGATGACTAAGTGACTTAAGAGAAGATGGTCAAAGGGTGGAGTCAGCCTCATCTCTAATCCTATGGAAATCCCAGCACATTACACCATCTTTTTGGTTAAAGGAAACCCCCATGACAGTCCCTGCCCTCCCAGGGGCTCTTAATGCAGATGCCAACTACTGAGAATGAGGCTTTAACCATATGTCATGACCACCTGCTTACAGGTACTCTAGGAGGGAAGTGTCCTGGGTGCAGGGGATACGGACTGCTGTCCACACTATCTACACCCTCCAGTGAACTGAGAAGCCCTGCAGTGGTCATTTTATCCCTGAGGTAAACTGTCAGGAGCCTCCAGTCCAGGCTGGCTGATTCCAAGCCTCAGCTCTCTCTTCAAGGTCACATCTCAAAGAGGAAAAGGCCATAGTCCTTGTTCTTTGGAAGCTTGCGGTCTAATCCCAGCTTTCAGAGAAGAAATTATTTCATTTGATTGATGTGATCAGAAGAAAGACACATCATGTATCCCTAATGACCAAATATTAAACCAAAGCCCTCAGACTCCTTACTGATGGACTGCTCCCTACCAAGTCCTATTGGAGAAATGTGCCCCCTGCCCTTTGAATCGCCCTTCTCAGCAGAGGAACTGAGCAAAGATCTGACTCAACTCTCTCCCTACAGCTGTTTTCCGAGTATCTGCACTTTGAAGAAAGAGGAGAACAGGTAGAAAAGGACACAGCTCTCTCAAGGCCTGAACTGATGTTACAAAAAGCAGAGCAACTCCAGCCAAGGAGCAGCAGGGAGACACAGAAATCTGTCCTGCCAATGGGGAGGTGATGCTCCATGGCATAGGAAGCTGATTTCTTGAAAGGGAAAGGCCCCTTTCAGCCCCAGTATGCATACTGGAGGATGCTGCAGCACTTCACTGCTCTGAGGGGCTGGGCAGGAGCCAGAAAGGTCATGGACACCTCAGGGGGACAGGAAGGCTGTGCCTTGGTGCTGCGCCATGGACATGAGGGAGAGCTAGTGGGCTTTCAGCGTTTCCATGTATGAATTCCAAGACATGGGCTTTCAGCATCTAAAGTGCTTATATCCTCACTGTGGTGCCCATTTACTTCCTGATGGTGGGTAACCTGGAAGAACACATCAGACTAAAAGAAATAGGGACCCCTAATGCACATACAAGACTATTAGACCAGAAGCGACCTTGAAGATTGAGTGAAGTCAGTCCAGCCCCCTCCTTTTACTGCAAAGAGACAGGCCCAGAGAATTGAAGGAACATGCCCAGGATCACAGAGCCAGCGGATGGCAGGAACCACATTTTCTTAGCAGGATTTCCACACTCTTTCCACTACGTCAAATTACAGAAAAATACATGACAGCACTGGGGGGGAATGAGGAGATTCATTCATGGACTCCCAAAGCAGCCATGCAAATATGGCTTATCTAAAGCTACAGGAGCTCCCAACTCGCCCTGAAATTCTGAGCCCATCCTTTTCCAGCCTGGGTAGAGATTAATGTGTTGACATCCTTGAGGAGAAGAACCATGGGTTATTCACTTAAAAAAAACTTTTTATTAAGGTATTATTTATATACACTCTTATGAAGGCTTCACATGAAAAAACAATGTGGTTACTACATTTACCCATATTATCAAGTCCCCACCCATACCCCAATGCAGTCACTGCCCATCAGTGTAGTAAGATGCCACAGATCCACTACGTGCCTTCTCTGTAGTACACTGTTCTCCCCATGATCCCCCACACCATGTGTACTAAACATAATACCCCTCAATCTGCTTCTCCCTCCGTCCCCACCTGCCCTCCCACACCCCTCCTCTTTGGTAACCACTAGTTCCTTCTTGGAGTCTCTGAGTCTGCTGCTATTTTCTTCCTTCAGTTTTGCTTCATTGTTATACTCCACAAATGAGGGAAATCATTTGGCACTTGTCTTTCTCTGCCTGGCTTATTTCACTGAGCAAAATGTTCTCCAGCTCCATCCGTGTTGTTGCAAATGGTAAGATTTGTTTCTTTCTTATGGCTGAATAGTATTCCATTGGGTATATGTACCACCTATTCTTTATCCATTCATCTACTGATGGACACTTAGGCTGCTTCTATATCTTGGCTATTGCAAAAAGTGCTACAATAAACATAGGGGTGCATATATCTTTTTGAATCTGAGAAGTTGTATTCTTTGGGTAAATTCCAAGGAGTGGGATTCCTGGGTCAAATGGTATTTCTATTTTTAGTTTTTTGAGGAACTTCCATATTTCTTTCCACAATGGTTGAACTAGCTTACATTCCCACCAGCAGTGTAGGAGGGTTCCCCTTTCTCTGCATCCTCACCAGCATTTGTTGTTCTTAGTCTTTTCGATGTTGGCCATGCTTACTGGTGTGAGGTGATATCTCATTGTGGTTTTAATGTGCATTTCCCTGATGATTAGTGATGTGGAGCATCTTTTCATGTGTCTGTTGGCCATCTGAATTTATTCTTTGGAGAACTGTCTCTTCATATCCTCTGCCCATTTGTTAATCAGTTTATTTGCTTTTTGGGTGTTGAGGCGTGTTAGTTCTTTATATATTTTGGGTGTTAACCATGGGTTATTCACTTCTGATGCCCCTGTCCACCTCCCACTTCTCTCTTGTCCAGCCCAGTACCTTCAGGGAATGTGGAGTGGGTGCCAGTGGGCATGGGACCCTCTGCTGGGGCCCAGTATCATGAGTTTGCAAATGTAAAATAAAAGAATGAATGAATCTTCTGTATTTTCTAATTTACAATTTAAATTAACATCCTTCCAAATCCATAAAAATGTGAGTGTTTTTAAAATACAAACACCAGAAAAAAAGTATTCCACATCTGTTAATTTCTATAATGATACACAACTTTTTTCAGATACTCAAATGGCATTTTATGTCCTTAAATATAATTTTATACATTTGTCCATATAGGCACTGTATTTTGTTACATTTATTCCTAAGTGTTTTTCCCAATTAAAAAAAAGTTCAAACCTGTAGAAGAAAGGAACACCTCATTTACCCTTCATCCTGGACTGATCAGTTGTTAACATTTCGCCATATTTGCACACTCTCTCTCTCTTTCTCTTACAAAGCATTTGAAAGTAAGTTTCTGAAACTGGATCACTCCACCCCTAAAAAATTCTGCATGTGCTAAAAGCAAGGACATTTTCCTATGTAATCACAATGCCATTATCACACCCAATAAATTTAATAAAGATGACATACAAATTTTTAAATGTAATTTAATTCAGAGAGGAATATGTTGAGAATAAATTGAATGTTCACAGCTTACTTCCAGTTACTGGAGAAATTTAACCTCTCCATCCTGGTTGACTTAATTAGCAATGTCACTGGTTGACATTGGTTTGCATTCGTGCCAGTCTGGGTTCTGCCCCAGCCTTCAGCATCTCACCTCACCCCAGGGAAAATACTGAGCTTTTCATATCCTAGGCACTGGGTCTGTAAAGAGACAGGCTCAGATAAGGCTGCATGCAGCCTTTCTCCTTCAGAGGCTGGCTTCTAGCCTCTTCAGCTAAAGTCTAGCCTCTTCAGCTAAAGTCATGAATATTCTAATACTAGACTAGTTTTGGAGAGATCTGGAAACTGGAGGAAAGCAAGAAAAAGCATAGCTTATAGCTGTCGTCGTGTTTCAACTCAAACACAGAGCAGAGCATCATGTAGATATATTTTCCACAGTAATGTTGTGTTCTTATTTGCTCTGCCTTCTGAGCTGGCATTTCTAATCAAGGGCATTGTGTTGACAAGTATAAGTAAACAAGAACATTGCTAGTGTGTTCTGTGATTGGTAATTTGGCACTAACAAAAATACAAATACCCCTACTCTATGCTCTAGTATTCTATATATGCTTGCATGAGAAATCATGTATGTTCACAGTAATTTACTGCAGCAGTATTTGAAAAAGAAAAGATTGGAAATGCGGGAATTAATAAAGGGAAACCTCTCTAAAATGAAATAGGGAAGCCAGAAAAGGGAGCCCAGTGCCACTCAATGTCAATTATAGGAAGAATTGTCAATTATAGACCCCAACAATAAAAAGTCAATTACAGGTCCAAAAAGGAAAAGATGTACTTTGCATCCCCTACAAGAAATCTATTACGCCTGCAACTCAGCCACTGAGAAATCATTAACTCCTCCCAACTTCCCCATAAATTAATGGTTCCTCCGCTTTGTTGGACTTGGCTATGGCTTTGCCATAGCTCCATGTGTTGGATTAGTTTTTTGTTTTTCCCTTATAAACCCATTTTTGCTAATAAAATTACTGTTTTGTTTTTTAGGTTAACATAACATGACCATTAATGAGGTATTTATTAATAAATTATGACACATATAAACAATTGTATACTATGCATGTGTTTAAAAAAAAAAAAGCAAGATAGAGAAGCACTTTATGTACGATGTCCAAAATGGTAGGTGGAAAATAAGCAAGGTGCAGAAATGCTACTATGTAAGGACGCGGGAGGAGGAGCGAGGGTAATACATACATGCTGAACCGATATATATGTCACGAAAAACATTGGTTGTCCAAACCAGTTTCTTTCTAAATTTTGAACCAGGTGAATATATTATTCATATTACTTATTTAATAATTAAACCGAAAAAAAATCTTGAGTTGGAAAACGTGTTTTTGAAAAGAGCAAAGACGTGCGTGAGGGGCCAAAAGCTCCGCCAGTGAAGCTTACAGGACCGGAGAGCTTCGCGGACTCGGGTCGCCGCCACCGAGGTGAGGATTCCTAGAGTGGCCCGGAAGTGCCCTGTTGACAGCGGCCGGGCGCTGAATGGCTTGTCTAGCCTTTGTTCCGGGCCCCAAAGGGCACTAGCTGTGGCACCTGTCCCTCCCTATCAGGGTGTGAGGTGAGTCTCTCCCAGCTCCTGGGTGTTGAGGAGGCAGGGGTCAAGGCACAGTTGCGGTCAGAAGCAACCCCCTCCCGCATCTCCCCGCCCCCCGCTGGCCTCTCTCCCCATGCTTCGACAGAGCGGCAAGAATGGACGTGGGCCGAGCCTCTGGAACAGAATGGGGTGAAAAGGGGTCAGTGGTTGAGAGCTGTTACCCAGAGGCACCCATCTAACCCCCTTCCTAGGTTTGTGCACGTACACCACAACCAGGGACTTCTAGGGAGCCGTGCACCTCAGGCTGTGGGATGAAAACAGCCTTTTAACAAAGCTGTCATACTAAGTGTTTATTAGAGCTTACTAGTCCCAGCTGTCAGGACAGGGACTTTGCGTACGTTCTCCTACATACACATCCACCCTATGAGAAATGTTAGAATTTTACAGATGAGGATCTGTAACTCAATAGGTAAGTAACTTGCTCTACAGTACACAGAGCCCAAATTCAAATTCATGTCCTTGCTTCAGTGTTCTTTTTGACCGCCTCCTATCAGACTGTTTTCTCTATTCAGCTCTGGTTCCTTATGTGTTTATGTTCACAGCAGCTTTTGTCATTTCTCCTCATTTTTCATTAGACAAGATTCTAAGAGATTCTTTTTGAATCAAGCCCAGATAGAGGATTACACTCCTGAAAAACAGCCTAGAATGGCCACAGCCCTGGAACCTAAGGAACAAAAAGGACTTCTCATAGTTGAAGCAGAAGACCATTCCTGGGGACAGGACTCCATCTCCCAAAAGTGCTATCTTCATAGGAGGGAACTCTTCAGGCAGCACTTTAGGAAGCTCTGCTATCAGGATGCACCTGGACCCCGTGACGCTCTTACCCGTCTCTGGAAGCTTTGCCGCCAGTGGCTGAGGCCAGAATGCAACACCAAGGAGCAGATTTTAGACTTACTGGTGCTGGAACAGTTCCTGAGCATTCTTCCTAGGGACTTGCAAACATGGGTGCAGGCACACCATCCAGAGACTGTAGAGGAGGCAGTCAGTGTGCTGGAAGATCTGGAGAGAGAGCTTGAACCTCAAAAGCAGGTGAGAAAGGAGGCAGTTATTTGGGTGTGAGAGATCAGCGTATATGGACCGAACCAAAGCAAAGGCATTTTGTCCATTTGAAAGGCGAAGATCAGTGAGAAGTTACAAGAAGGCAAATAAGTATCAGAGGAAAACAGAATTTTCTGACATTCATAGCTACCTATAAATAAAATGGACTATGGTGTAATAAAAAACTCCCTTTCCATAGGAGTATTCAAGTTGGGGTTCAAGCAGATGTCAATGATTTTATAAAACAGCACTGTCCAATAAAAATATAATGTGAGCCTTATATATTAGAATTTTCTTGTAGTCTCATTTTTAAAATAACAAATGAAATTAAATATATTTTACTTAACCCAAAATATGTAATCATGTAATCAAGATTTAGAATGAGGTATTTTACCTTCTTTTCTTGTACTTGGTTTTCAAAATTTGGTGGGTATATTTCATATATCTCAGTTGATACTAGCTACATTTCAAGTGCTTAATAACCATATTTTAATCATGGCTATCATATTGGACAATGCATTATAGAAGAAATGCTCCATTTGGTGGAAGTTGGGCTAATTTTAAGGTACCTTCCAAAGCCCAAGACTATGATCCTACACCTCTGCAAATCACCATGAGAAGAGACACTGAATTTCACTCTCCAGCATCCTGAACTATAGAGATTAGCCTTTGTCTCTTCTTTTTTAGTCATTGCCATTTGTAATTGAATGAGGATCTGACCATTTTTCTATGTCCTTGGTCCCTGGCAGATGCTTCTTTTGATCTTTTCTCTGAAATTCTTTCAGTTCTTTCACAAAATCTAACTTACAAGACCAATCATACTTCATCATTCCCAGGTGACAGCCAATTCAGGAAAACAGGACACACTCTTGGACAAGTTGGGAAGGCCTCATGAGTTACTGACTGTCCAGCTCCATCCCAGGAAGACCCAGCAGGAGCAGGAATCTGGGGATACCCAAAGAAATGGTAAGGAGCAAGAGTTTTGTACATATGAGGAAAAGGTGGTTCCTTAGGTTACAGAGGAGTGTTCTCACTCATCTTCTCCTTCTCTAGAAGATTTTACCCCTTTTCCTACCCTGGCCCCCACATAGAAAAAAATTGTATTTTAGCTTTTCATTAGACTTAAAAGCTGCTTTTTGGTCCAGTGGGTGGGAAATGATATTTAAATACTCACTCAAATTAATAATATCTTATACTTGTGTTATCTGATGATTCTAGTTCCAAATTCCCTTAAATTTCCATTTGAGCAAGAAGATTTGTATGACACCCTGTATTTGTCTGTTAGGTCTGCCAGAACAGAATACTGCAAACTCTGTGGCTTAAACAACAGAAATTTATTTTCTTACAGTTCTGGAGGCGGGATGAGGCCTCTCTCCTTAGCTAGCTGACTCACTGTGTCTTCACATGGCCTTTTCTCTGTGCACACACACACTCCTGGTATTGCTTACTTTTATAAGGATGCCAACACTATTGGATTATGGTCCCACCCTTAGGACCTCATTTATCCTTCATTATCTACCTAAAGGCTCTTTTTCCAAATAAACTCAAATTGGGAGTTACAGCTACAATATATAAATTTTGGGAGGACACATTTCAGTCCATGATACCCCCATGCTAAAAGAAGTAAGGGAGAGAGCAAGAATCAATCAGTGTAGCAGGTTTTTTGTTTGTTTGTTTCTCTGTATGTCAGACTGACTGTAGTTTGCTGATCAGCTAGCTAACTATTTAAAAGCCAGGTGTCTAGTGTATCCCCAGGCTACAATAAAAAGGAGACAAACTTGAAATTCCAGTTTGCCTGAACTCTACTGTTCAGTACTTGCTCTGGAGGTTCTCACATCCATGATGCCTTCTCTGGGCAGTGTGTTATACTCTGACCTATTCTGAAGTCCATTCTTACTACTTTAAATTTTACCAATATGGCTTTCTCATTCTCTGGGATCCACGCCAAGTGATTTGTCTAATCTAAACATTTTTTTTAAGCTAAGATATTTCTAGCTGACACCTAAAAAGTATGGCATTCGATAATTTATATTTAAAAAACATAGTTTTATATCTTTTAGTGCTTTAAAATGGAGTTTTGGCTATTGGTGACTTTAGAAGTGAGGTTGAGATTCCGTTTTATTCATTTCTTTCATTTTTCATTAAACATTTCTTGATCAGCAGCTATATACCAAGCACTATTCTAGATATTAGGAATACAAAGATAAGACACTTTTGTTCTTCTCTTTAAGAAATAGAAAAGTGAGCAGTTAAAATACACTGTACCAAGAAAAGGATAGCTATCCCTGTGGCAGGCCTGCAAAAGTATCACAGAGTAGGTTTGTTTCAGCTGAGATGGTCAGGTGTGTGGGAGGAGGGAGCATTCCAGGCACAGAGAACAGTGTAGACAAAGATTATTTTAAAATATAAAACCAAAAGTCCAAAGTCTGTAACTGAATGAGAAAGGCATATAATGAATTTCTCTCAAATATGAGGATGGTGGACCAAGCTGGAGAGAGAGGCTCTAAGGGGGAAAAAAAATCAAAAGATAGTAAGTAAGCAGAATGAACAGATCTGATTGGATATGGTGGCACGGGAGGGGGCAGTGTCTTACTTCAATCCAAGTTTATAACTTGGGCAACTTGGCAGACAGCAGTATAGGTAACAGAAAAGTCAAAAGGGGGATTTATATGTGTAAACAATAGAGTAAATTCAATTTTTATGCAAGTGAATATTCCATGCCTGTGAAACTCCAAATAAATAAAATTCACTGCAGTAAGTATACTTTAAAATATGATTCCAGATACAGGAGAAAAGGTAAGAGATTTAAGAGTTATCTCTGGGTAGATGATAGAAGACATGGTGTATGATAGAAGACATGGGTATAGATGAAGTTGGCCAAGAACATACATAAAGTAAAAAGAGAAGACAGCCACATGCAAAATTTTGAGGCATGCCACCATTTGAAAAATTTGGGTAGAAGAGGAGGATTCTGTGAAGGAGACAGAGCAGGGACTATCAGAGTGTTAAGCAGAAGAGGATGGTGTCACTGAAGATAAGAATTTCAGCAAGATGTTGTGAATGTTACTGTTAGGACACAGAATAAGGACTGGTAAGAGTCCACTGAATTTGGCATTTAGAAATTATCATGTAGTCTTATCAAGAATAGTTTTAGGAGGCAGAAACTAAAGGATGCAAACTTTTACTAAGCTTTGATAAGCTTAACTGTGTGGAGTCTTCATCTATTTTCTGGGAGGAGACATATAATGAATTTCCCTACCTTTGGGAGAAGATAGGATATACTCTCATAAAATAGGTCATAATTCTGTGTAGAACACAGAATTACTGATTATGACTAGTGGCTTATCTATGCAAAACTCTTAAGTTCTAGATCTTGCCTTGTTTTTGTATAAATACTTCTGGACCACGTTCACTCTGCTTTCTATTAGCATAAGTCCAGAATGATATACACTTCCTGTACCTAAAATTGTAGAGGCTCCCACTTGTGCTACTACCACAATAACTTTATGGGGGTACTCTACAGTTAAAATACTAATTTTCTTAATCTAATTAGGTGGATTATGCCTCATGAGATCTAACAATCCTGTGAGGCCTGAAAATTCTTAGGGAAGTACATTCTGTCTACATTAAACAGTATAAGTAAGACTTTTTTTCTAAAGTACACCACCAACAACCTTACACAATTTTTATCTGTGTCCCCACCACCACCACTACACTCCTCACCAAAAAAACAGACAAGCAAAAAGCAAAACTCACCAAAACAATACTTCTCGGCCCTACACACAAAAAACTGTAGAAATCACAACACCTACATTTCAAGAAGTGCCTCTCAACTTTATTAATAAAAAAGTATTTAATATCTGGTCTAAATCCTGATTTTACAGTTGAAGAACTATTCCCACAGTAGCTGTGACTTGTACAAGTTTCCATAAGGAATTAGAGGCTGAGCTGAGATTATCAGAATCTGGGCTCCTGCCTGCTAGTTCAGAACAATTTTAAAAGCCATCATGATAATGTACCAAAAGCCAGTGTCTTTTAAAAAAAAATTCATTATTTAAATAGAGAAACTGTTTTTTTGCAGTATTTCTTGTTCAAAAAAAAAAATCGTTCTGGTCCATACTAACAAGATAGTATTAGTTGTTGACTACAGTAATGGTGCTTATCTCTGTAAATATAATGAAATTATAATAGTCACTTAATACAGAATTATATATTTGACAGAAATTGAGGGAGCTGTGTATCCTGCAATTCTTTGTAACACATTTCAAAGGGAACTTTTTGGATATGCTTTTAACCCACATCACTGCCTCTCTCCATTAGCATTAAGTGATAGTCTACTTCATTAACTCTGTTACAGTTTCACTTCATTCAGCATATAACCTTGTCCTTTCTCTCCAGACTGTCAAGCAAGTTATACACATGGTAATCAAATGGTGTTTGTGAACTTACCTTATCACAGTGACCAGCAGGCCTGAATTTACCTGGAATTGTAACTGATAAGGTCTCTTGGTATTACATATGCCAAAATAACATTGGAAGAACAGCTCTGGCAAAAGATGTTCAGACCATATATTCTTAATTTTGTTCTGAAACAAGGTTTCTTGGAATCCTATTAGCCAGGGACTAGGAGGCACTTGGAAGAGGTACATAGACAAGGCCCTGAAATTCCAATTGACCAAGAAGTAGGCTGCAGGTCCCTCAGATAAGAAAAGTTCACATTTGACAGCTTCCCTACAATTTTATTTACATTGTTCAGTTGCAGATATAAGGGACAGCGTTACAATTTGAATTACTGACCAAGTAAAACAGACCCTTTATTTTTTTTTTTAAGTCTTTCAAAGTCTTGGTGAGAGATTTTTCTCCAGATTTCTCCTGAAGTTGGAGAGACTCATGCTGAGGACTGGTAGATTACTGTGAAGATAAAGAACTGACCACTGGGGTAAACTCTTTGAGTACTTTTTTTTCTTTATTATTTATCTTCATCAATAAGCCACATGAAAGCCAACCAGAAGTGATTCCAATATGTAAAAGAAGCTGTTGAGCCAGTATGTTTGTTTAAGAACACTCTTCTTAATGGTATGAGTGTCTCTGATTTCCATGATTTGCTTAATTATTACCCTACTAAATTGGCAGTACTTCTACCATGCATTATACTTTTATAAATGCTTTATCATACATTCTCTCATCTGATCAAATAATAGGTAAGGACTAGGACAGAGATGATAAGAAAACCAAAATGGTTTTCATCTGCCAAAATTTAAACAACCATCAGCAGAGCCAAGACTAGAATCTAAACTTTCTAACTCTAGTCCTTCTAATTTCTAGCCAGAGATAGTGCAGCAATTAGAGTCCAAAACAATATCATCTTACAACAAATAACTAAACTTTGAGAAAGTCTATTGCCTTATTAAAAAAAAATGATTGTAAGGAGGAAGGTAAGATTTGAGAAAATTTTGGTAGCAAGGTAACAATGAAAAATTCCATACCCAGCCCAGGCATTGAAATGTCCTGGTAGCTCTTGCTGCTGTTGCCATCATGCCAAGTGACACCACCTGTGATTAAATGATCATTGCACAGTTGGGATTCCTACGTTTGGTGAGATGTTGGTTTCAGCATGGCCAAAGAGGTGACATCTTTTACCTCTCTAAATCACAAAACAACTATTTTCTTATAGAATTCAACTCAACAAATATTTATTGAGAACTTGCTGTGTGCCCAGTTCTGTGCTAAGCTTGTGGTTGAGGACATGAGGATCAGGAAGAGGGAATAAGTGCATGCAGTGAGATTAGGTAAGACTTTCTGGAGGAAACAGCATTTGAGACAGACCTCGAATAATAGCTAGGTCATTAGTTCTCAAAGTCTAGTCCCTGGACTAATCGTATATATCACACCAGGAAACTTGTTAGAAATGCAAATTCTTGGGCTCTACTCCAGCCTCATCAAATCAGAAGCTATGGTGTGGTGGGAGGCCAAATATCCATATTTTAATAAGCCAGAATCCAGTTGATTCTGAAACACCAAGCTAGGATTTAGACAGGAAGAGATGACAGCAAGGACTTTAGTTTCAGAAAAAAGGATTCAACCCACCACATATAGCAGACCATCCACTGTGACTTCATGCTTATCTTCCTCCCTTTATTTATCCTGATCTGCATGCTTTCTCTGCTTTTAGCTAATTATCCTTCATACACTCATCCCTACTTTGATGGTTGCTGTTTACTACATTCCTTTCAGTTCCCAATCCCATTAACGTCTGAAGTCACTTTTGCTTGATTTTACTACCTCCTTATGTTTGCAGCCCTTGCGTGTTTCTCTCAAACTTTTACCTCTCCCACCCCATCTCTGTTCATTTATCTCCCTGTCTATCCCTCATTATTATTCTTGGCCTATCTACATCCCCATTTACTATTTACCACTTTGCACAGGATTACCAGGTAACCCCTTAATCTACATTTTTGCCTTTTCCTCTCTTTATTTATTCCCAAATAAAGTATCTTGCTATCTTCCTTACTGGCCTCTTCTTAATTTCTTCCCTATATTGTCAGTAGATGTTTTGATGGTCCCAAATATCTAATTTGTGCATTGTATGTGACTTTTCATTTTTTATAATGCTTTTATAATATTTACATGTTCTTTTTTCCATAGGCTTTTTGTTTCTCCAACTTGGATTAGGACCTGTTTGTGTACTGTTTGTTCATTACAGGTAATAAAACCAGAACTAAGAAAGAAGAGTCATCCCACAAGGATGATATGCCTGAGGACATGGAATTCCTTGGGAAGATAAAAGACAGACTTAACAAAGACATTCCTCAGCATTCTGAATTCAAAGATGCTATTGAAAGTGAGGGCAGATTTGAATGGCAGCAGAAGGAAAGAAGACACTATAAATGTGATGACTGTGGAAAAAGTTTCAGTCATAGCTCAGACCTTAGTAAACATAGGAGAACTTACACTGGAGAGAGGCCCTATAAATGTGATGTGTGTGGAAAAGCCTTCATTCAACGCTCACATCTCATTGGACATCATAGAGTACATACTGGAGTGAAACCTTATAAATGTAAAGAATGTGGGAAAGATTTTAGTGGACGCACAGGTCTTATTCAGCATCAGAGAATCCACACAGGTGAAAAACCGTATGAATGTGATGAGTGTGGGAGGCCCTTCCATGTAAGTTCAGCCCTTATTAGACATCAAAGGATTCATACAGTAAATAAGCTCTACTAATATGTGGGAAGTAACAAAAGTTCTTTAGATGATCAGGCCTAGTTAGTTATCAGAGAATCTATCCTAGGGACCTTATGATTATCCTGAATGTAAACAAAATTTCAGTCATCATTAAAAATTTCTCTGGCACCACAGAATCTGAGTAAAATTTCCTTTTCTTTTTAAATTAGTTCAGTTTCTTAGGAGGAATTCAGTTATTCTTGAAAGCCTTGTCTATTAACACGACTGCTCACTTGCAGCCCAAGATAACCATGTTTTCTGGTTGGAAGACAATGAATTTTACCTTTTGGTCCTAGCTCCTTTTTATTTGACCATTCAGTGTTTACTTTAGGCAAGACATTCAAAATTTTTCTCTGCCTTCATTTCTCCTTCCATAAAATGTAGCTGACTATAATAAAGGCCAGCCCCATCAAGTATGTTGTATTAAGTTAAAATAGATGAACACTGCTTCTGAAATTAAGAACTAAAACAACACTATTTGTTTTCTATCATTACTGATATAATGGCCTAAATATTTATCATTTTATTTTAAAGTAGGGGGGTATTATAATAATTTTGTGGAATATGTTTATCAATGGTAGGAAACCATTACAAAAGACAGCAGGAAAATATTCTGGAGAAAGGAAAACAGTAAGTAATCCATAGGAGCTGCTGGGAAGGGGATAACAGTGTGTTAAGGCTCTGTAACTGTATAAATCACTTCTAAGTCTCAGGTCATATAAACTGAGGGAGCTAGGGAGATTGGCCTAGACTCTACTGTCCAATGTGGTAGCCAGTACCCACATGTGGCTGTTTATTAACTCAGATAAAATGGAAAATGCGATTCCTTAGTGATTAGCCACATTTCAGCTACTCAATAGCCACATGTGGCTAAAAGCTTCTATATAGGACAGCATAAATACAGGTCATTTTTATCATTTTAGGAAGTTCTAAAGTATACTACTATCCAAGTTGATACCGGTAAGATACCTCCAACTTTTATATTGTGTGATTCTGAGTTCAGGCAGGTAGTAAAAGAGACAAATGAGGTGGCTGCAATAGCAACAGGAGATAAAATACGAACACCCTAAAAGAAAATATTTTAGTAATAATAACTATGGCATTTCTTCAGCCTTGAGAGGAGTATATTATAATTGAAGGAAGATGATTATTAAAGTAAATGCAATAACCTAATAACCTAAACTAAAAACTTAAACCACTAACTCATCTCTATAAAAAGAGTGTAATTACCTTTATAGGTAACATCCCCTTTCAAACACCCTATACTAACGAGAAACAGGGGCTCTCAGGACACCGATACTTTAAGACAGTGAACAATCCACTTTTTTTCTTTTTAGCTTAAAAATGTATTATCATTTCATGTACTTGTAACAGATTTACATCCCAATTTTGAGAATTTGATAACATGACAGCAATTATGGCCGAAGGCCCAACACATTCAAATATATAACCCCATCAAACTTCCATGAACCATTGGTTCTAGGAATAGCCATCACCAAAATGATCAGAAGTGATCTGATCTCTTGTTGAAGATACTAATTATACATACTTGCTTTTGTATTGTGTTTGAGAGTAAGAAAACCACCAGAATCATTTTTGTGTCTACTAGTATTGGAAGATGAATCTTAATCATTCCTTGCAACACCACAAAGATAAACTAAACTTTTATGTCTTTTGAACATAATGCTCCTTTAAAAGAAAATGTTTACTTTGTTATAACAAACAATATTTTTAAAACATGCTGTCTCACACTCATTTGTTTTTATGACATAATTATCTGAGCAATACTTCAAAGATTTTTTTTTAATGGTCATTGAGATAAAAGTAAAGTATTAAATATTTAGTATTAGAAACATCCTTATTTAAAAAAAAAGTTAGGTTCTTACCAACTCATAGCTTTTGCTCCTTTACCGTTCTGCAAACACTGTCATGGGTAGAAGCTGTTCACAATCTTTGTAAACAGGAAACTCGTGTTTCTGATTTTATGCTTCCTTGAATTTAGAGAGACTTCTGCAATGGTAAAAAGTAATCTTGACTACCATGAGGTTAGCTTTTCTAAAATTGGTAAAGACATGACATTTTCCTTTATCATCTTCTGTATGACAGAGCAATCTACTCAGGTTGTAGTTTTGAATTCTTGTTATGTACAAAGAATTGTTCTAGTCTTAGAGTTGTTATTACCTCAAAGGCTGAGTGAAAACTAGTTTGGAGCACTGAGACCATGCTACCCTTATTAGATTTGGTGTTGACTTCAAATTGCCACCATAGTGTCCACCACTTGATGTTGACCAGAGGGGCAATGATAATAGTCAAGGAGGGACAGAAAGATATGGGGCCAGAGATGGCCTAGAGTGATGTAAGCAAGAGAAGAAAGTCCAATGGGACATGAAATAACTGTAGGCATAAGCCAAGGAGGCATGAAGCTAAAGGAGATCTAAGTAGTTGCTGGTACTTTGAAGAAGCTGGCAATGTCCTAATAAGTCTGCAGAACCCCACAGAAAAAATTGGTGTGGGTGCAACCAGTTAGAAAGCAGAGCTCTGAGTTCAATCACAGCCACAGATATTGGAAGAACAGATGTAATATGTTAGACACTAATCAGAACCACTGAGTTTTAGCAGAGCCAATCTAGATGGATAGCATCTGCTTTAAAAGGAGCACGAAAAAAAAAAAGAAAAAAATAGGAACCTGAATATAGAAGGCAGTTTCTCAAACAGTTGTGTCAGAAGCATGTGCATGGCTTCTCCCACCTTTCTGGAGAGAAGACTTTTTTTTGAGGGAGGCAAGAACTTGTACTTTGTAGTTTTCATGACTTAACAGGATAGATATGATTGTAAAAGGCATTTACAGGGAGTATGAGGGGCAACTCTGACACAGATGAGGGATGGTGGTAAAGTAGTGATTCTGAATGAGGAGCCAACAGCTATGAAGGGAGAAAATAGGTGAATGTTGGGATAGGAGGGAAAGTAGGTATGTGTGGGCACTGGTGAAGAGGGGGAAAACAAGATGAGGAGAAAAGGATGGAAGGGGAAGAGAGTTAAAAAGGAACAAGAGCATAGGGAAAGGAACAAGATAAAATAGGAGATAGTGATAGGGAGAGTGGCAAGCAATTATAATATTGGCATCAATCATATTTGAGACAGTGGGTTATGATACAAGACATACATAAAAAGATAAACGGATCAACTCCTTACTTCCAAGTAATGTTGAGTCTTATGTACACACAGGACATATTACATCCTTATTTGGTGAGTCCACATTCTCATCCTGAGCACGAAACTATTTTTTATAGTCTATTCAAAAGGTGCATCAATAGTGAAAACACAACAAATTCTGAAACTCTTCAAAATTGCCTATTTTCCCCTTAGTAATATCACAAGGAAGTCATACTGAGGTTCTGAGAGAATAGCTATCTCAGTCTTTCTTACTCAAATCATCTAGAGCACGGTTTCTCAAGCTTGGTGCTATTGACATTTTCAGCCCGACAACTCCTTGTAGCGGGCTGTCCTCCACCTTACAGGATGTTTATCAGTGTCCCTGGCTTCCACCCCCTGATGCCATCAGCGTGTGCTACCTGTGACAAGCAAAATTTTCTTAAGGGGGCTGAGGGCAAAACTATCCCCAGTTGAGAACAACTGATCAATAGGAAAATAATCCAATATTCATAAGTGTTCCACATCATATACAGTAAGATTCTATAGAAATGGTACATATGACCAGCACTACTAGACCCTTCTCCTTCCCCACAAAATAATTCCCTGAGTTCCTAAAGTCTAGGCAGCAGTCCTGCAAAAAAGTAGTCTACTTTAGGAAGCCATACCTCACTTACATTTGAGGAACAGAGGAATCTGTCCTCAAATGTGACTTGCATGAAGAGCTTACATGGCATTTTTTTAGACCTACCTCTTCCCTTCACGCCATACTTCTGGTGCCACCCTCTGCTTTGCCCCTTGATCCAACCACAAATAGACACTCCCTGATCTATACCTGTATTGTCCAATACAGTAGCTACATGTACATGCGGCTATGCAACTAAGGAACTACATTTTAAAAAATTTAAATTAAAAACATAATTCAGTTTTTGGAACCTTTAAGTATGTTTGGAATAATTTGGGTATATTAATCGACATTTCCCACTTTAAATTGCATATAACCTCAATATAGATAAAGTATTTTCAGTGAAACTTTAATATTTCAACTGAGATGTGCAATGAGTAGAAACACACCAGCTTTCAAAGATGTATGAAGAAAGGAATGTAAGTTATTAGTAACTTTATATTGATTAGATGTTAATATTTTTACTATACTCTTTTAAATAAAATACACTAAAATTAATTTCCCCTTTTTATTTTTTAAAGCAGCTACTAGAAAACTTAAAATTACATAGGTGGATCACATTATATTCCCATTTATTGGACAGCACTGACCAAGATATTCTCAGCTTCGGGATGGCTCCCATTCTATATGTTATAAACCACAGCAATTCTGTTAGTTCTGTGCTACCAAGGACTTCCTTCCTACCTACCATTCATTCATTCAGTAAGTACTTATTGAACACAGGTTAAATGCCAAGCCCCTATTCTAGGTCCTGGTGATATAGCAGGAAACAAATAAGATCCCTGGCCTTATATACCTATGTTACAGTAAAGGGAGATATCACCTCACACGTGTTAGAATGGCTATTACCAAAAAGACAAGAAATAAGCATTGGAGAGGTTGTGGAGAAAAATACACTGTTGGTAGGAAAGTAAATTGGGGCAACCACTATGGAAAACAGTTTGGAGTTTCTTCAAAAAATAAAAATAGAAACTACCATATGATCCAGCAATTCCACTTGTGGGTATTTATCAGAAGAAAATAAAAACACTAATTCAATAAGATAATATGTAACCCCATGTTCACTACAGCACTATTTACAACAGCCCAGATAATGGAAACAACCTAATGCTGCCCAACAATGGATGAAATGATAAAAAAAATTGTGGTATATATATATATATAATGGAATATTATTAAAATAGAATGAAAATTTCTATCAGCCATTAAAAAACAGTGAAATTTTGGCATTTGTGAAAACATGGCTAAACCTTGAGGGCATTATGCTAAGTGAAATGTCAGAGAATGACAAATATCATATGATCTCTCTTATATGTGAAATCTAAACAAAACAAAAACTCAGATACAGAGAACAGATTGGAGATTACCAGAGAGAGCAGTGGAGAGTGAGAGAAATAGGTGAAGGGGTCAAAGGTAAAAGGAAGAAAAAAAGCCAATATTGATTCATCAGTCATGATTCATGAGTCAATATTTAACTGGAACTGTCAGCCATTAAATGTTACGTCCCTTTTCAGTTAGTGCCAACTAGTAATACCCAAAATATCTGGGCAGGAAACAGGGCCTGGCTGCCTGTTCCAGAATACTTGGGAAACAAAATAAACATACGGATTCCCAGGCCCTGCAAGTGTTGTGCAGACATGTATAAAAAATTATTTATGCTCCTATAAGTCTGTTACAGTAAATGCAAATATACATTTTTTCTCTTTTTTAAATTTTATTTTGGTATCATTAATTTACAATTACATGAGGAACATTATGTTTACTAGACTCCCCCCTTCACCAAGTCCCCCCCGCCACATACCACATTAGTCACTGTCCATCAGCATAGTAAGATGCTGTAAATTCACTATTTGTCTTCTCTGTGTTGCACAGCCCTCGACGTGCCCCCCACACATTACACATGCTAATCATAAGGCCCCCTTTTTCCTGTCCCCCACTTCTCCCTCCCTTCCCACACATGCTCCCCAGTCCCTTTCCCTTTGGTAACTATTAGTCCTTTCTTGGGTTCTGTGATTCTGCTGCTGTTTTGTTCCTTCAGTTTTTTCTTTGTTCTTATATTCCATATATGAGTGAAATCATTTGGTACTTGTCTTTCTCTGCCTGGCTTATTTCACTGAGCATAATACCGTCTAGCTCCAGCCATGTTGTTGCAAATGGTAGGATTTGTTTTCTTCTTATGGATGAATAATATTCCATTGTGTATATGTATCACATCTTCTTTAATGATTCATGTACGATGGACACTTAGGTTGCTTCCATTTCTTGGCTATTGTAAATAGTGCTGTGATAAACATATGGGTGCATATGTCTTTTTCAAATTGGGCTGCTGCATTCTTAGGGTAAAATTCTAGAAGTGGGGTTCCTGGGTCAAGTGGTATTTCTATTTTGAGCTTTTTGAGGAAGCTCCATACTGCTTTCCTCAATGGTTGAACTAATTTACATTCCCACCAGCAGTGTAGGAGGGTTTCCCTTTCTCCACATCCTCGCCAACATTTGTTGTTTGTCTTTTGGATGGTGGCGATCCTTACTGGTGTGAGGTGATATCTCATTGTGGTTTTAATTTGCATTTCTCTGATAATTAGCAATGTGGAGCATCTTTTCATGTGTCTGTTAGCCAACTGAATTTCTTCTTTGGAGAACTGTCTGTTCAGCTCCTCTGCCCATTTTTTAATTGGATTATTCACTTTTTGTTTGTTGAGGTGCATGAGCTTCTTATATATTTTTTATGTCAACCATTTATTGGATCTGTCATTTATGAATATATTCTCCCATACTATAGGATACCTTTTTGTTCTAGTGTCCTTTGCAGTACAGAAGCTTTTCAGCTTGATATAGTCCCACTTGTTCTGTTTCCCTTCTGTTTTGTTTTTTTTTTTTTTTTCTTTTTTTTCTTTTTTTTTTT